GAGGAATAATCCGAATTTCGGGGGCTCATCCTGCCCCTCCCCGCAGCTCCGGGGTGTCCCAGGGAGGGCTCATTCCCGGTGGATCCTCCATCCCTGGAAGTGTCCCGGGTCAGGCTGGAGCAGCCCGGGTCGGTGGAAGGAGCCCCTGCCCGTGGGGACAGGATGAGCTTTAGACCATTCCAGGGTTTAGGGCTGGATATTGGGAAGGAATTCCTCCCTGGGAGGGTGGGGAGGAGCTGGAACGGATTTCCCAGAGGATTCCCGGTCCTTGGAAGTGTCCCAGGCCCCCCTGGAAGCTTTCACTGCCCACGTCAGGGCCGGAACGAGACGATTTCCAAGTTGTCCCCCAACCCCAAACCCCCTTCCAGGACGATCCCCCGCGTGGGCACAAACCCCACAAACCGCCCTCGAACCACCCGGTTAGGACGAGCCCCGAGCCCCGGGCGCTCCAATTTCCCCATCCCAGTGAGTTCCAAACTCCTTTCTCCCCCTCGCCTCAGTTTCCCAGCGGGATCTCCCGGAGCCTTTTCCAGCGCCCGCCGGGACCTCGGCGCCTTTTTTTTTTTTTTTTAATTTATTTTATTTATTTTTTTTTTTTTATTATTTGTGTGCGTGTCGTGTGAGCGGCTGCGGCTCTTTCAGGGAGCACAAAAGGGCCGGGGCGGCACAGATGGAGCCTTTCAGAGGGGAGCGGGCTCCTTCCTCCGTCTGCCTCCTCCTGCCGCCGCCGTTTCCTCCCCCCCGTTAATTGAATCCGCACTTTCATAGCTCATTACCCCCCTGATGGATTGGATTAGCCGGGGCGCCGCGCCCGCCGGGGGGAACAGTTGGCTCCGCGTCCCCCCCCCCCCCCCGGGGGGCGCGGGGGGCCCCGCGGGCTCCTGGCCACGAGCCGGGGCGTGGGGGGCAACGGACGCGACCACCCCCCCCCCTTCCCAAAAAAGCACGGGCTTCGCTCCCCAACGACCCCCGGGTGTGCCACGGGCAGGGCGAGTGCCCGGGGACGGGGATGTGCCCACCCCGAGCCGCGCGTGGGGCCGGGGAGCAGTGCCCGCGGTCCTGGGTGGGGTGGGTGCCGTGCCCACCCTGTGGTGCTGGCGGTGCCCACCTCCCACCTGGGTGCTGGGGGGGGTTGGACCCTCCAGGGGACAATTTTTGGGGGGTCTGACCCCTCGGGGCACACTTTGGGGTGTCGGACCCCCTAGCAGGCGAGATTTGGGGGTTTGGAGCCCTGGGGGGACATTTTGGGGTGTCGGATCCCTCTGGGGACACTTTGGGGTGTTGGACCCTCCAGGGGACAATTTTTGGGGGGTTGGACCCCTCGGGGGGCACTTTGGGGTGTCGGATCTCTCGGGGGGACAGGTTTTGGGGTGTGGGACCCCTCAGGGGACACTTTGGGGTGTCGGATCTCTCGGGGGGACAGGTTTT